AGGGAAGGAAGGGAAGGGGTGAATACTCGGTCATGTCGTGACGGTTCACGACAGTATCCCCCATTTAAGGCCGTGTTACGCCTGTAACACTCTTGTTCTTCAACAACGTTGGAGCGTGTTTTGGTATGCCTGGATGTGTGTTCTGGTTTCTGGGTCCATCACGGAGAGTTAGCATCCGTGGATCTTTGCGCGGGATGTGTGTTTCTTGTTCTGGTCTCTTGGTCCTAGGTTTCATCACGGAGAGTTAGCATCCGTGGATCTTTGCGCGGGATATGTGTTTCTTGTTCTGGTCTCTTGGTCTTTGTTCTAGTCTTGGGCCTGGATCCCCATCACGGAGAGTTAGCATCCGTGGGCTTCGCGGTGGGATATGTGTTTTCTTGTTCTGGTCTCTTGGTCCTAGGTTTCATCACGGAGAGTTAGCATCCGTGGATCTTTGCGCGGGATATGTGTTTCTTATTCTGGTCTCTTGGTCCTTGTTCTAGTCTTGATCCTGGGTCCCCATCACGGAGAGTTAGCATCCGTGGGCTTCGCGGTGGGATATGTGTTTCTTGTTCTGGTCTCTTGGTCCTAGGTTTCATCACGGAGAGTTAGCATCCGTGGATCTTGCGCTGTTGTTTCTGTTTTATTCCGTGCCGTGTGTTCTTTTGCTAATCGTCCATGGGCTTCACTGGTCCATGGACTAGCGGTACTGGGAGATTTCCGCTTAGAGATCCGTAGGGGCGGACTTGGGACGTTCTATCCCTGGGTCATACTCGGGAATAGTGCGGAGGGTGGAAATCGTGAGGGTCTGGGGATGGTCCTGGGGAAGGTCTTCTTCCTCTGGGGTGGTCAAGGTGGCACGGACTGGGAGTGGATCCCTTTGTTCATCGGCTATTCTCGTTCGGCACTTGCTTACCGAGTGGTTTGGTTTTCCGCAGTAGAAACACAGGTTGTTTTTCTTGTAGTGATCTTTCTCTTCCTCTGAGAGACGGTTGAACGGGCGGCCTTTCTTGGGTTCTTCCACATTTACAGAACGTATGCGGGAGGAGGGTGCCTTCTGGGTGAAGGTCGCGGACTGGTACATGAGGCGGAGGCGATCGAATTCGCGGGCTTTCTCTACAAGGCGGGCTAGGGTGTCTGGCTGGGGCATCAGGGTCAGGAGCTTCTCATGGAGGGCAGGGTCTAGGTTCCGCCTAAAAGCGAACATTCTGGTGTATTCATCCACCTGTGCGCGGGAGGCGTGAGTGTACCATCTCTGGTACCACTCATTGAACGGGGCGGAGTTCTGGGGGAAGTTGTGCATGAGGGCGCTTGCTTCTAACCGGTTTTCTACTGGGACGAAGTGTTCTTTGAACGCGTCTAGGAAGTCTGCGAATGTGCCAAAGTCTATGGGGTTTGCGTTCATTGCTGCTGTGGTTCTGTCTTGGGCCCAGTCGCCTGCTGGGGTACCTGCTTTGAAGTGCGTAAGGGCGGCGGATACACGCCGGTTTTCATCTGGGAAGGAGGTCTCGTTCAGGAAGTAGTAGTTCTTCAGTGCGTAGAAGAACGTCTCTGCTTTTCCTTCTTGGCCGTCATATGGTTCCGGGGCGGCTCCAAGTAACTTTGCGGGGGCTGCGGGATTTGCCATTGGTACTGCGGGGGCTGTGCTGGTGCGGGGACTACTGGGAGTTGTACTGGGGCTACGGGGACTACTGGGGAGCGTGCTGGTCTTACTGGGACTGCTGGGGACGGGGAGGGCTGCCGTTGGGGGGCAAGGGTCGTTCCTACGGTGAGCGGGGTCGGGAGATGCGAGGGTCCGGCTGGTCCGGGAGTTGTGGGCTGTGACGACTGCGGTGTCGCGAAGTTGACTGGGTGGTTATTGGCGTATACCCAACGGCCTTGGCTGATTGAAAACCTGACTGGTTTGTTCTTGTAAAATCCGTGGAGGGTCTTGAGGTCGAGGCGAGAGACTTCTTGGGCGTTCGGGACTAAGGCTAGGTACTCTGGGTCTCCAAAGGGGTTCTGGTGTTCGTCTGTCCAAGGTCCTTCGGGGGCGTCTCCGAAGTAGTATGCGCCGGCAAAGATGCCGAAGTAGTACTGGTTCCGGGTACTGTACTCGAGGTTGTTAAAGAGGTATGGGATGCGATCGAGTTCTTCAGAGGTTAAGGGTCGTTCGTCGCTCATTCAGGGTGGGACAGGGAATCAATGGGGGGTTCGGGGGGCTGTGTCTCGTGGTGTGTGTCTGTGTCCTTCTAGCCTTCTTCAGCATCTCCTTGGTGACCTTCTCTGTAAGGTCCGACCACGCTGGATGACAATTAGTGGGGGAAAGAGGGGGGATTTGGGTAGGGGTTGGGATGGAAAGAGAGACAATTCAAGTGTCGCGAACCTAGGCGCGTCAAGGATATTTCCCAACGGCTACGCCACAAGAGACGAGTTTAACGTCCTGAGAGGGGTACAAGAGAGGATGAAGATAGAGGAGTGGACTGGAAGAGGTGGTATCGCAGTGCGGTCCCGCTCATGCAACCTGTTTAGTTGCTACTTGCTCTACCTCGGTTGGTAATACAAGTGAATTGTCTGAGGGCGTCTCTACTAGACGCTTGTCCTTATATACATGGGTACTCTAGGGCTGGTCTTTAAAAGCGTGACCTATTGTCTGTAAGCGCTAGCCAATCATCAAATCGCAGGGAGTGGTGCCATCTATTAATACTCGAGGTCCTATTAATAGTTGAACCTTGTTAGTCATTGCGCAGTCAGCTGAGTCATGCGCGTCATGTGACTAGTCTGGGGTCATGTGACTGCGAGTCGTCATGTGATCTGGTCCTGGGCTTGGTCATGTGACCCGGCGGTCACCTGATCCGTGGCTGCTTCTGTATCTCTGGGTTCTCCATGTATTCGTCTGGCAAGAAAGGTTTACATAAGTCGCGGGAAGTTCTTGCATAAGCAAAACTCGCGCGTCGATTCCTGGGTCGTCTGGGCTGGGATTCGGGTCTCAAGGGGTGTTTCTGGTCGAACTATGAGGGAATTTCCATGGAGAATTACCGATCCATGGTCTGGGACGGGGAGGAAGTGTTTCGAGGCGTCTTTTACGGGTCAGGGAAGGAAGGGAAGGGGTGAATACTCGGTCATGTCGTGACGGTTCACGACAGCATGCAGCCCCAGGTGGAGGGCAAGGGGCGTGCAGCGTGCAGCCCCAAGCAGAGGGCGAGGGGTGTGCAGCCCAGGGCCGATGTTGCAGCCTTTGGGGCGGCCTTGTTGCTGTTTTGTTGCTGTTGCTGCTGCAGTTCTTGTTGTATTTGTTGGTGGTAGTGGTGAGGACGAAGGCGGTGGTGGAGGGGACAAAGGTGGCGATTGCAGTTCTGGTCACCAGGCGGTGAGGGTGTGGGCCAAGGCGAGGCAACGGTGTGGTGGCAAAAGTCGAGAACAAAAGACCGGTTGCAAAGGTTGCAACCAGTCTTTTGTTGGTTGCAAGAAAATTTGCGTGGGAGGGCAACCGCAACCGCCCAATTGGGAAAATTCGGGCAACCGCAACCGGCAGTCCGGTTGGTTCTGGTTCTGGTTCTGGTCCAGTCCCGGTCTTTTGCTGGTCCTATGGACCGGACCTCTAAACTCTACCCATCACCCTCTCTTGGGGCTGCATGCTCTCGCAGCCATACCACCCCCAACACATCACCAACATCCCCTCACGCTTGCAATTGTGTGGGGGGTGTCTATGACAATGCACGAACTTATGCCACGCCACCACCTCAATGCGATACCCCTCGTGCTCACAATCATGTGGAGGGTGTATATGACAATGCGCGACTGCCATGCCACACTGCCACCTCAACCCAGATACCCCTCACGCTCGCAATTGCATGGGGGGTGTATACAATGATGCGCAACCGCCATGCCACGCTGCCACCTCAACCCAGATACCCCTTGCGCTTGCAATTGCTTGGGGGGGTGTATACAACGATGTGCAACTGCCATGCCACACCACCACATCAACCCCGATACCCCTTGCACTTGCAATCACGTGGGGGGTGTATATGATGATGCACGACCACAATGCCACGCCGCCACCTCAACCTGGATATCCCTCGTGCTTGCAATTGCATGGGGGGTGTTATATGGTGATGCGCGACCACCATGCCACGCCACCACATCACCCCAATACCCCTTGCGCTTGCAATCGCATGGGGGGTGTATATGGCAATGCGCAACCACCATGCCACACCACCACATCAACCTCAATACCCCTCGTGCTCGCAATCGTGTGGGGGGTGTATACGACAATGGCCGGCCGCCACACCATGCCACCCCCACCATGCCACCCCCTTGCACTCACGATCGTGTGGGGGTGACTTAGGGCCACCTGCTTGTCGCCCTTGGCGGGGCAATGAGCAAGACTTCCCCCTTGGCCTGCCCATCACTACTGTGTGGCCTTGCATGCAGTTAGGAGACTTGCATTCATATGTACTAATGTGTATTGTGTTTTTATGTGTATTAAGTAGTGTATATTTGGGTATTTGAGTTTTTATTCTCTGAAAAACAAAACATATGTGGGTAAAACATACCATATTTGGAAGGTGGGGGGTCTCATATCCCCCAAAAAAAAAGTTCAACCTGGAGTCCTTAATTTTAGTTCCGCCACCCCCTTGCAATAATGACACCATTGACAGAGAACCCAGAGCCAAGAAACACTGCAAGGAAACTAATAAAGCTGAGAAGGATGGGTCTGAAAAAGAAGAAGCAGACCACGTCGCCTTTATGGCTCGCATTGACACAAAAGGAAAGGCCAAGGCAGATGATCCCTTCAAGGATGACCCTTTTTCTGATGGGGAATGCCACAATTTCGAGAATTATGATTGTAATAATGCTGATGGAATAGACAAATGTTTGATCTATTACGGCTGGCTAGCTGACAGTGGCACCACTTCATGTTGAGGTCCCATGGATGCTATGTCACATGTCACAGCACCCTAGACACTCCTGTGGGCACTGCATGCATTATGCAGCACCCCCAGACACCAATCGAAGGGACCCTGGATAAGGGAAAAGAATGGCCACACTGGGGATCAAACCCAAGACCCTTGGAATGGACCTCCAGAGCTCTACCACTGAGCTACACAGCCTTAGGACTAAGAGGCCAGTCATTGTAGATATCATGCCAATCTGATATCATAGACTTAACCATGCTGAAGGGGTCAACGGTGTATCCCCCAGTTCAACACTTCACATATCACAAACAATTGAGAACTATTCAACACATATATACCGATTGCACCCATACACATTTCGGGAGTCGGTGACTCGTCCACCTATGCAGTCGGAAAAGGCACGATCATATTATATTCTCTCATTGGTGCACATACACATATGCTCAAATTGCAAGATGTCTTACATGTTCCCCACAACCGACATAATCTTTTGTCCCTCAGCAGATGGGAACATGACAGATGCAGCTATCGTGCGTCACAGGGCACTCTGCAACTTCTCCTGCCTAACAATAAAATCGTGGCTGAGGGCCACAAATACAAAGATTCACTTTACCAAATCAAATTATTTTCTGACCAAATGCACACGTCGGGTCTGCATGCAAGGACAAAAACACATGACTGGTTAATGTGGCATAAACACTTCGGACATATTAGTTATAGTGGCCTACAATGACTTTTGGATGACCAACTCGTCGACAGCATGTCCATTAACCACAATAGCCCTATGCCTCAATGTATTGCTTGCATCGAGGGAAAACATTCCATTGCTCCTTTTGGCAGTACACAGTCCTGCATGTCCGTGCCTGGAGAAATGACACATATTGATTTATGGGGAAAATACAACGTTCAGTCTATTCATGGCAATAGCTACTACATGCTCGCCATGGACGATGTCTCCCGCCATGTCACTATCTATTTCTTAAAAACCAAAAGTGCAGCATCTGAACACATTCAGAACTACCTTGCCTTTGTTGCCACGCATCACCCAGCTCCTCATTCCACTTGAGCTAGTGGGCCACTACTCTGTATGGCATATCCGAGTTCTTATGGTAAAATTGCCTCATTTGTCCAGATTCGAAAAAACCGGACCAGACCTGGGTGGACTGGTCCTTTGTGGCTCAGCGCTCAGCAGTCGAGTAGTCAAAACTGCCGGTTCATCAACTGGTTTAAGTCTTTCATTTGCTTTCATCGAAATTTAAAACTTTTTTATTATTATATCACATTAGTTATAAGTTGTACAGAAAACCAATCTAAACTAAAGTACACTAAAATGATCCATTGACAATGATTAAACAGGGGAGAGGGGTGCAGAGGAGGTCACGAGCGCGAGGAATGTCGGTGCGGGTGCATGGACGTGTGTGGGGCCCGCTGTGTGCAGGGCCGCGTGGCGAGGGGCGAGCGCAGCGCGTAATGCGGGGCCCGCACGGTAGTGATGGGTGGGGGAGGTCTTTTTCATCACCTCGTAAGCGAGGGCGACGGGCGTGTGGCCCTAGGTGTGGGCGCGCAGCCCCAGGCGACGGCGGCGCGACGGGCGTGCAGCCACAGGAGACGGCGGCGAGGGTGACGCCCCAGGCGAAAGCGACGAGGGTGGGGCCAGGAGAAGGCGGCGAGGGTGCCTCCCGGGAGACGGCAACGGGAGTGACATCCCAGACAGCGACGACGGTTACGCCACAGGCAATGGCGAGGGGTGTGCAGACCAAGGGGAGGCGGCGAGGGTGCGGGCAAAGACGAGGGTGTGGGCGAAGACAAGGGTGCAGGCGAAGACAAGGGTGCGGGTGAAGACAAGAATGTGGGCGAAGACGAGGGCGATGGGCGGCAGCCCCAGATGAAGGAGATGTGAAACCGGCAGCGGTCATGAGGCCTGACCGCGTGAGGGGACTCGGTGAACCGGCCCAACATGCTGACAGAGGATTGTTAACATCAGGAAAACGGCAAAATGCTGAATGCTTCTTAATGCCTCTTAATGCCTCTTATCCGCTTATTAAGAAGGGCACCCTGCTTAATAAGAGCAATAAAGAAGCATTAAGAAGCATTAAGAAGCATTCAGCATTTTGCCGTTTTCCTGATGAAGCATGGACCCTACTTACTCATTCTCGGACTGTGGTTACTCAGCGGATTCATACGATTCATAAGCGCTTAGCAAGCGCTTCCCTTTCTGACAAAGCGGAGTATTTCCCGCTTACTGTACGATTACTATACGACGACTCAGCAACGCTTTGGCCTAGCTTGTAGGGCCACTGCTGGGTATATAAGGACTTGTAAAGTAGAGTAGAGACCTTAAGTCAAGTGTCTTGTACGACAGCTTGAATATCACCCTCTTCTCTCCTCTGCATAGCCCTTTGGGAGTCTTGCATGAGCAACAGGCTTGGACGCCTTGCCGAAACATCTCGTGGACTCCCTCTCTACACAGAGAAACTCTACCGACTCTATCAAACCGAAGGCCCACACCGCTATCCATATGAAGAATACCTCAGAGGCGCGTACCTGCTGAGGTTCGTCGACATTATCACAGGGTCATATCACACGAAGAAGGAACGAGCCACATACTTGCAAGTCGCAATATACAGAGGGGATACCCGTCCCACCGGCACGTAGTGGCACTAGGCGTATAGGCCGGTGACATTACACTTGACTTCTCGACACCCTGGCACCTCCGGACAGAACTTACATTACGTGGACGTTGCGAGAGGACGCACCAAAGAACCAGACCGTCATCTGGGTTACCCCTGAAGAGAATCGACATCTCCCATTCCCCTGCTACATTACAGCAGCATCCAGTCGAACGAAAGACCCCGACCCACTTCTCTATCTAAGAGACAAGTGGTACTGCCTAAGAGCCGACGCAGACAGCAAACCATACCTTGGGGCACGAAGAACCGAAATCGAAACAGCAATCGCACAAGAAACACCGGCCAGGGAAACCGTCGAGACCCCAGCCCCAGAAGAACGACCAACCTCCCCAGATTCAATTGACAAACCAATTAAGCGGCAAACAGCCCCAATCCCCATAGGAATCAAGATGGGATCTAGCACTCGAGTAGAAGTGCAGACAGAGACGGAACAAAGCGGAAGCTCCAGTAAAGGAAAACAACCACAGAGGAGCGACCTCCAGGCACTCCTAAACCAGGCCATGAAGAGGGGAACACCCCCTGACGACAACCCCAATCATCCGGAAGGAGACCCGGATGACAACGACGACGACTTTTACCACGACGCCTTCCCCACCACTAACACAGGAGCCCCAGACGGGAAAATCCTGGGAAACCTCCTGTCCGCATTCACAGGAGATAGGTCAAGGGCCGAGGAATTTCTAACCAACATGCAAGCCTATTTCAGGCTCAACATCAAGAACGCACAAATGCGTTCCCCCATGACATGCGTCGCCCTGTGCCTGTCCACCATGGAAGGGCTGGACATCGAAGAATGGAAACGCGACATCGGAAAATGGTTCGACAGGCTGAACCCGAATGTCGACGATCGAATGGGCATGTGGCACATGTTCGAACGAGAGTTCAAGAAACAGTTCGAGGACTCACAAAGCGAACCACGAGCAAGAATGGAGCTCCAACACCTGGAAATGAAATGGCCCCTCATAGACAAATACGTCTCTGACTTCGAGAAATTGGCACGCCTCACCGGATACGACCACACCAACCCAGAAACGATGCACTTCTTCATGAATGGACTGCCCAAATCCATTTTAACAGACATCCTCCAACCACCGGTCCCGACCTCATACCACAGAATGAAAGTGAAAGCAGTTGAAGCAGTACGATCCAGAGTACTGATCGACGCGATAACCAAAGGAAGGGGGCAAGCATCACGACCCATCCCCAACTGGTTCCAGCAAAGGAACCAGCAACAACAACAGAACCGGCAAGCATACAACCAACCAAGGTTCAACTCAAGCACAGCCCCGCCGAGTTACAACAATCGACCAGTGCCAATGGACCTAGGCCGCAGCCGAGCCCCGCGCCCACAAGGACAACGGATCAACGCGGCCCAAGAAGGGAACATGCGGAAAAAAGGAGCCTGCTTCAACTGCGGCAAAGAAGGGCACTTCGCCAGAGAATGCCGCTCCCCGAAACAAGTTAGGGTCAACTACGGGTGGACCTCGAACGCGCCACCAGGATGGATCTATCAAGGACCACCCCAGGAAGAGGCACCGCAGCCAAACGACCCTGTCGAGGACCTACAAGCCAGGGTCATGGCCATGTCCCTAGAAGACAAAGGGAGGCTCCTCCAGAGCTACGGGGTACCCACCAAGGAGACCAAAGAATCGGATTTTTAAACGCCCTTATCTGTACAGCCTGGATAAGGAGCGGGACAGACGACCGTGTGTATTTATCACTGAGAAAATCAATGTCCATTAAAGCATACATACACACGGCGTCTAAGAGGGCTGAGGTCGAGTCGCTACTAGACTCAGGAGCTACCGAAAACTTCATCAGCGAAGATCTGGCCTACCAACTACGGTTACCGGTCACCAGACTCCACCAACCAAGACCACTGTTCAACATCGATGGAACGAAGAACTGGAAAGGGGACATCACCCGCTACGCCAACTTGGAAGTACAGACCAGCTCACGAAACAGGAAAATGCGATTCTTCCTGACAGACTTAGGCAGCCAGAAACTAATTCTTGGATACCCCTGGTTTGCAGCAATGCAACCTCAAATCGACTGGGCCTGAGGGTGGCTAGAATACGCCCACCTGCCTATCGTACTACGAACAAAGCAAGAACAGACCACCAGAATAGCAGCAGCAGACTCGCGACAAACCATGGCGTCCAAGCTAGCTGAACAAGCCACTAAAACAAAACCAGAAGTAACCCTTCCCCCACAATCCCAACAGTTCACCAAAGTCTTCAGCGAAAGAGCATCAAAACGCTTCCCCCCTTCCCGGCCTTACGACCACGCAATAGATCTCAAACCGGACGCCCCAGCAACACTCCCAGCCAAAGCGATACGACTCCCGGCTGACAAACTCCTCGCAACCAAAGAATTCCTAGACGAGAACAAACAACTCGACCGGGTCAGGGAATCAAACAGCCCGTACGCGTCAAGATTCTTCTTCATCAAGAAGAAAGATGGAAAACTACAACCAGTCCAGGACTACCGAAAGCTCAACGACAA